ACTACTGGGAATATACCCTGAAGAGACCATAGCTGACATCCAAGCAGATATATGCACACCCATGTTTATTGCAGCTTTGTTCACAATAGCAAGGAGCTGGAAACAACCTAAGTGCCCATCAACAAACGAATGGCTAGAGAAGCTGTGGTATATTCGCACAATGGAATACTATGCTGCATTATTCTTATTTTTAAGAAATCAAAAGACATATTTCATTGACAAAATCTGTGTAAGGAAACACTCCAAAGTACAGAGAGGCGATAATGTCAGTTTGAATACTAAGGAGCACCTGATTCAAGCCATGCTTTTTCAATCACTTGCTAGTGTCTGAGAGATGAACAGTGAATAAGGATGACTGAAGAATTATCAAGACCTTTGAGCTGTGGTGTTGGAGAAGAATATTGAATATCCGGCCTGCCAAAAGAACAAATATGTCTTGAAGAAAGTGCAACCAGAATGCTACTTAGAGACAAGGATTGCAAAAGCTTTATCTTGCATACTTTGGGAATGTTGTTAGGAAAGCCTATTCCTTAGAAAGGACCATCAAGCATTGAAAGAGAGGAAGTTAATTCACTGAGGTGTCTACAATAGTGAGCTCAAGTATGTCAGAGATGATGAAGATGGTGCAGGGTAGGACACAGTTCAGACCAGTTGTTCATAAGTTTGCGATGAGTAATACTTGATTTGTTATTATGTGCCATGAACAGCAATGGTTAAACAACTTAATAAAGCTACTTTTGTGAAGAAATGCAAAACTTGTGTAAAGATATTATGCACCTTGGTTTGAATATTCCCACGAAGGAACATTGGTATTTTTAATGTCACTTTCAGTCTGAGTTGTTAAATAAAAAGACAAGGAATATTTGATTAAAATACTCAGGCCATTTATTATTAATTGGACATTCCTAAATTATAAAAATGTATTTACTTTTGTTGTGTTACCTACACATAGTTGTAGATCACACCATACCTTGATTTGACTATTTTATTCCTTTTTCGAGGAAAAGCAGTGACACTGGTTCAAAAAAAGTATAAAAATAGAGAAATGAGTAACAGAAAGTGAGCAAAGGCCTAAAAATACATTATAAAGTTGTAAAATCAGTCTGTGAATTTATGGTTGCAGATATAATTTTTTTTCAGATGTAATTTTTTTATATTATACTTTTGTGTACCCAGAATTTTTTTTTTTTTTTGAGTGTGTACCCAGAATTTTAAAACTTCATGAATCATTGCCAAGGCAGCAGAGTACAGGAATTAATTGGTTCAAAATGAACTAGAAATTAAACTATTTTTAAAAGCCTGTAAAGTTAAATAATACAAATATAAACAAAGAAAAAAATTAAAATGACATTAAAGTTATAATATTTTGACTATGAGTGTCTGGAAAATTTCTTTTGTAATTTGACCTTTTACTATAGTTGGGTTTTTTCTTTTAATATTTTTTTCCCAGCTGATCCATTTAGTGCTCTAAATATGTCATTTGCATATTGAATCTGATTGTGGTTACCAAAACTCAATCCACTTCCGTTTAGTTGGTCTTGACTCCTTATTGCCCTACATTTGGTTTCTGAGGCTGTAAGTCTTGATGGGAGTAAGTTCTGGTATCTTTCTCCCATGGGATGGCTGGTAGATTTGAACAACTGGCTATTTGATTAGCAGCATAACACATAATCAGTTGCTAGACCAGGTTAATTAACTTTTCTTCTTTTTGCTGTGTTAATACTTAAATGACACTCCCTCATGAAGACAGTCTTCTTATAATAAAAGTGCTAATATATTGTTAACATGCCTCTGGAAATTCTATAAACTTTGAGAAACAACGATAGTTATAGAAAGACTTCAGGCCTTTTGTTCATTGGGTTGCTCTGAGTGGTGCTCGACTCAACAGCGATCAACAATAGCAACAACAACAACAACAACAATATATTGTTAGATTTCATTTATTCATGTTATTTGTAATTGTTAATTGAGTTGTAGCTGTTTTAGATACCATTTAAAACATCCATGAGACCCTGACAAATTTATAGCTTGAAATGTTGTTGCTATGTGCTGTTGAGTCAACTGCAACTCATGGCCTTCTATGAACATTGATCAGAACATTACTTATAGATGTGCAAAATTCATGTTAAAATTTTGCCCCTGCTAATCCATTGCCTTATATTCTCTCCCCCGACCCTTTCTGCATTGCTTCTGATGAACAGATCGAAATCCTGATGGTAAGTGAAAAGATCATTCCTTTGAAAATTGAATCTAAATCAAAGTGAAATTTCATTTGTAAATTAATTGATAATATGCTGTGATTGGACTCATTTTATACCCTACTGTTTTAACTGTAAACTTCCTTAAGCTGTTATGAAGTTCTAGTTTACCATAGAGTTTTAGGGATCTCAGTAGCTCAATCTTACAATAGAAAGGATGATAAATGAATTCTATTTTTAGTAACTTCTCAGTATTAGTTTGTTAAGAATTATGAGGAAAAATGAAGGTAGAAATAACACAGTAACTTTTGAAAAAAGTCAAAGGTAATCATTGATGCCTTTGATTATTTTACTCTACACTCTGTTTCCTAATTTTACTTTTAAGAAAGTCATTGTTTTATACTGTCGAATTGAGTGGAGTCGATCATGGCTGATCCTCTAGGGTTTTTTCAGAGGCAGTGAATTGTATGAGTTGATTACCCGTCTTTCTCCCACAGAGCAGTGGGTGGATTTGAACCACATACCTTTGCATTGGCAGCACAATTTCTTACCATGAAGTTACCAGAGCAAGAGTAAGAAAACCCCCCAATATCATTGAATTAGACATTCTGTATTTTCTAAGAGCCCTAACAGATTCTTCTGTTTATGGTAAAAATGATATGTGGATTCTCTCAGTGGGCCCATCCTTTGCCTTTTGAACTTACATGCATTCGTGTTAATTACTACTCATTTTGTTTTTCCTAGCCTTATTTTTTATTCCCTTGCTACAATATTTATTAAAAATGTGACTTTTGTTAAGTTTGTCCTTTAGATGTCCTGAGAGGATTTTGAGGCGCTAAAGTTACAGAACACACACTCATCTTTCGCTGGCAAGGTGCTGTCCAGTCTATTCCAGTTTGTGAAGAGCCCAGGTGTGTCACGAACATCTGTGCTCCAGAGAGTTTTCACTGACTGGCTCTTTAGAAATAGCTCGCCAGGGCTTTCTGTAACAATACCGTAGGGTAAACTTGAATCTCTGAGCTTTTGGTTAGCAGTCAAGTACATTGACCATTTGTACTACCCAGGAACTTGAGCACATAGCAGAACCTCTAAAAGTATCTATTTTTTATTTCCCTCTGAGACAACAAAGTAGGAACTCTGGCAATGTAGTTTGTAGTGTTATACTGCCAATCAAAAGGCCATTCCAACCTAGTATGAATCTACCAGCAATTCCTTAAAAGAAAGATGGACCTTCCCTTAAGATGTACAACTTCAGAAACCCACAGGAGACTTGAGGTGAACCAAGAATTGACTGGGTGTCAGTGAACTTGAGTCTGAAATAGACAAAACTAGTAAGAGCACTGGTGGTGTAGTGTGCTATGTGTCAGACTACTAACCAAAACGTCAGTGGTTCAGTTCTACCAGCCACTGTAGGAGGGAAAGCTGAAGCAGTCTCTTCTGGCCATATTTACAGTCTCCTTAAAGATTTGGCTCAGTGGTAATAAGCTGTGCTGCTGTCTCAAATCCCCCAGCTACTCCGTGGGGGAGGTATGAGCAAGCGGTCTCCTCCTGTGGTATTTATTCCCTCTTCAAACCTACTGGAGGTTGAGCTGGGGGTAGGTTTTGCCTTGAAGGCACACAACAGCAGCAACAAAAACAACTCTTAAACATTTAGCCTTCGAGCCCTTTGAAAACCATGCACTGGGATTGTTTTCACATCAGCTAGTTTGTGTCTTTTATTTGTTTAGAAAAAGGCTAAGGATTCCTGGTGGTACTGTGGTTCAAGCACTCAGCTACTAACTGGAAAGATGGCGGTTTGAACCCAGTCCAGTGACTCTGCAGGAGAAAGGACCTGGTGATTTCTTCCCACAAGGATGAGAGCTCGGAAACCTGTGGGCAGTTCTGCTGTGTCATGCAGGGTCCCTCCGAGGAACTGTTGACCCGACAGTAACCATTTGGTTGATTTTGGGGACATAAACTGAGAGAAAGGGATTTTTTTTTTCTTTTTAAATGTAGTAGCTTTTGGTGTTATTGTTTACTAGCTATTTTAAGGTAAATTTTAGATAACTCTAATTAATAAAGATTAAGTGAATAAAAGTAAAATGGTTTAAAAGTCATGGTTGCACTTACTCAAGTAATTTTATTACTATCAGCAACCTGAGATGCATAGTATGTACCATCTTGAATTCCGAGATGTGATAATGTGCTTATATGAGAAGTATTTAAATAGATGAAAAAATTTAACTTAATATCATAAAATCCACTTGTCAAATTAGAGTTTGGGTTATTAAAAACAACCTGAGATTAATAATATTCATATGTAACTGATAAGAGGTTGGGCTAAATTTTGTATAATGCCATATTATGATCTAAATTATTTGTTTTAAGTTTAAAAAAATCATTAAAGTGCATTGTTGAAAGAATTTTTTCCTTCATAAGTATAAATTCAGCCCACATTGTGAAAAACAGAATCACAGTTTATGGAACTTTTACTATTCCTGTTTAAGCCATGAGAACCAAAATGCCAATTTTTGAGGAGAATTTTGGTATTCCAACTCATAGCTAAAGCTAGTATAAAATCTCTTGTTATCTATTTTAAAACCATAATTAAGCCCTAGGGGGTAGAGTTCAAATATTCCACCAAGTAGGCAAGAAAATAATGTGTTGCCACTTAGTCTTACATATACACAAGGCTTCCTATTTCAAAGGCAGATCCGTTTTATTGGCCTGATCTGTTCTTGCTATATTGCAGATAAGCGGTTCTGCTTTTATGGGTGGAAAAAAGAGAAGCAAACGAGGTTTTATGTTGTCCCATAAGAGTTAGTCTCCATTATTTCTGCATTAAAGTTACATGACATGGGTAGTGTAAAACATGAGAGCAGATGAAGCACAGTACGTCGCCAGACATAACAGGAAGGGATCAAGGAAGTTCTGGCTACCAGACGTTGCTACTGCTTTGGGGTTCCTTCTTTTCAATATGAAATGACTCTAGCAGACCTTTGGAAAGACTTCTGAGAGCATTATATAGATGTGTAATATATAGATAGAGTTCGTCTATTCTAATGTACATTTAGTTAGTCCCTCTTTGAAACACATTTTGGCTTCCCATTTGACAGTGATGCTGGCTTCCTAGGTGTGCTATGTGCAATTAGTGTTTTCCTTCTGGAAAATTGTTGGGCCAGGAGTGGTTTTGATGGGAGTTTTCTAAATGTTCAAGAATGTTGTAATTAATCATACCATACTGGTCGCAACTATCTATTTCCTCTTGTAGACTTAGGAAAGGAAGTGCTTGAAGGATAGGTGATTATAGTAGGTGAAAAACTGCAGAACAAAGCTAGTCTGATGAGTGAGTAGCCAATATTTGAGTAAAATAAATGACATTTCTCCGCCTTTTTCTTAGAATAACATTCAGAAAGTTGAATAAGCCAGGTATAGAGACTGTTTTGTCAACTATATGGAGAAAATCCTTCTGATGGTAGGCAGTGAGAGAACCTATTAGGCTCTTTCAACTAAGTTGAAAACTTCTTTGCCAGCAACCTTGAAAAGTCTTTAAATAGATGTAATTTTTTCCTTTCATATTTCAGATTCCCACTCACACCTCTCTACTTGTCTTTGACTTCAAGTTCTTAGATACAATTAAAATGTCTGAAGAGTAATTGGTAGTCACATTTACAATTAAAGCTACTCAAGAAATGTACATGCCAGTATAATTGTGCCTTTGATACATTCCATGCCTAGATATTTGAGGTTGTATTTTGTAATGCTTGAATTTTAATTTGATGGGAAGTGCCATAAAGTACTGGCATTCTAATTTTTCTTTTTAAAAGCAAGAGTTTCTGAAAATAGTTTCTGTAGAGTTTCATACTCTCTTTTCCCCTAATGGTAAAACTTTTTAAACTGGTATCATTAAAAAAAGAAACCAACCAACCAACCAACCAACCAACCAATGTATACTCATTTTATTAAGCAAAAGTGTCATCATTTTTCAAAGTAATATTTTCCAGATGTGCTTTGAAATAGGTTTACAATTCCTTGAGAGAAGAAAAATTCTAGAGAGGTTCTACAAATTTTAGCAACAACACACTATTGCCCTCGTATCTCACATTGTTATTAACTGACCTTAGCTGAATTGTGAATTGAGTCGTAACATATTTGCCTTCTTGGATTTATTAGTGCTTGCCATCCACCCAGTTTCTTAAAACAGACTTTTTTTATTTACTTATTTAAGATTTAGGGTAACAATCTGCACAAATGTGGACTCCGTGATGTAGGAACAATGTTGTTGATTATACTATTTTTTTTTTTTCTTACCAAGAATTCAGTCAGTAGCTGGTTGAGGAAAAGTAGGGGTCACAGAATAGTTTTAGCAGAACATTTTTTGCAGCAATTAGCTTTGTCTTCGAAAATGTATGGAAGATAGCAAAATTGTCATCAGATGAGGCATTTCCCTCCCTACCTCCTGTTATTTTGTGCCTTAAAAATGAGGGGGGGAAAAAAGGAAGCAGGTTTCAATTTTCTTTTTCTTTCCAGAATGCATCTATTGATTGAATCTATAATTTATATAGTGTAGAGAAACATATCCACTAGGTAGATTTCCATAATTTAGTGATACAAAGAATATATGGAAATTTCCTTGATGTTGGAAAACTAGTCCTTTGTAATATTTTGTGGTGATATTGATAGCTGTGGTTAGAGCAGGAGCTTAGATCATGTTACCATAATATTTTGAGTCAAAACAGTTCATCATTGTAAAGTACAAATACACATGCTACTAAAAACCTCACAGAATGTCAGGAAATGATACCCTGGGACTTTTCTTAAGAGGCACCAGTGATAATTTGCATCTAGGATTCCAGGAGAAGTGAATTTAACATCTGTTGGTTATGAACAAAAAATGAGCTATGTTAAATTTAATGGATAATAGATTATGTAGAAGAGAATGACAAATATGCTCCACATGTTCTGAAAAAGCACTTAATTGTCCCCATCTATCAATATGCTTGCCATTGGTGAGTATCTCTTACTATTCTAGGGAGTAA